TAAAAGAGATTTCAAAGTGTATCATTTCTTCTGAGGGCAATGGTCATCATGAGGGAACAGTTAGAAATCCAATTTTGTACCAGAGTTCAAACACATAGTAGTAACAATGTGTTGTTGAAGGCTTTCATGGCTGGAAGCACTGGGTTGTTGTGAGTTTTCTGGGCTGAATCATAAAGCTGACCTTACAAGTGAGACCATTCCCATGGTTTTATTTCAGCAATGTTCAAACATGAAACAGCAACATATAACATGTAAAACGGAATCCTGATTGGTTTTGGATGACAGGGAAGCACTGATATGTAATAGAAACATTTTACTTTTTCTAGGTCAAATTACCAACACGTACGTAGCACTTAGAAGGGAGGAAAGGATTAAACATGTATAATTTAGAGTTCAGGAATGGCAGGTAGTAGAAAGCACTTCCTCACTACACCTCCTCTCTAAGGGTGCTTCCAGACAGTGCCAAAACCTGTGCCAAAATAGGTTAACTGCTTCGGCGTGGGTTTCAGTTCCCACTTCCTCCTACAATCCCGGGATTTCCCTCTTGGAGTGGCTACAGGCTATCCCGATTGAAATTGGGATAGCATGAGGCCACCCTGAAACTTCAAATTTAGCCCCTAAAACATATTGAAAAGGTCCCTGGCCACCATGGAGTTTCTCCTTGCATCGTCCTGAGTGGAGGAAATAATGCCTGAGGACATTTTTAATTTATCATGTCAGAAGCAAATTGGCAGTATGCCTGAGGAGATAAGAGGATGAGGAGGAAAATCCCTCCATGCACCTCCTCCCTGTCTCCTCACTTGTCATTTCCTCTTCTCAGGGTGATGTGAGGAGAGGCTCCATGCTGACCAGGGACCTCTTCAGTAAGTTTTAGGGGCTAAATTTGGGGCTTGGAGAGAGGTGATGGATGCCATCCTGCTCCTCCAGGTTTTTCAAAGCCTGAAGAAGTGAGATGGCTGTGGGGACTCACCTTCGGGACTGCAGAAGCAGTCCTGGTTGTGAGTCCTCACAGGTCCAGCACCTCATTAGGCTTGGATCTTATGAGGTATTTGGAATAAACCGGATAAATCCAGAAAGGCCTGGATCTAATGAGGTATTTGGAATAAACCAAGGAAACCTTGGTTTGTTCCAAATTATTTCTTTTTTATCAGAGGCCTCATTTGGATGCCTTAGGTAAAAACTGAGACCTGTTTTTTGGGCCTGTCTGGATGGGCCCTAAATCACCTTTTCCTGAACTAGCTATTCCTTAGTTTCTGGCAAAGGTAGATTTGAATGTAACCACAAAGGGAATTTATTAATATAAGACACAAGGGTAGATGCTTGTTACATAAGAGATCCACACTGAGTGGTGTAGGAGGTCTTGGGTGATGGGTTCACAGGTGTGGGGTAATAAGGGTAGGAGTTTGATAAGATTTGATAATTGTAAAGTTAATAATTAACTTTTTATTATTTACATTTGATAGCAGTTGATAATATCATGTTGTTTTTAAAAATATGTATGCCTTTTTCTCTTTTTCTCTCTTTTTCATATACACAATAAAATAAAAAAAAATTGGAAAAAGTCATATTTTGCATTTGAAATAGATGCCTCAGTACAGTTATAAACAATGGTCTATGTATACTACATGTGTGCTGCTCCACATGTGCAAGTCTTCATCCTTTCTTACTACAACTTTCAGATCTGGCAAGGAGTCTCTGACTTACCAGGACATGATGGTTGCAGAGAGTTCAGACTATAGAGAAACAGATTGTCTGAGTTTGTCTTTGAGTGAAGAAGGTTGCACACTCAAACAGAGTGCATCTTCCTTTTCCCTTCCCTGGACACTTGCGGCAGTGGGATAATCGTGGACTGAATTGCTTTCCCATCTCTCCCATCCCTATGAGTGCAAGTGGTGATCTCCTAGGACTTGAGAACTATCTACTTGTGGGAAGTTCTGTGATGAAGCACAAAAGAACATAGCCCTTTGAGTCCAACCCAATGAGGGACAGACAAGCTGTTTCTCTGTTGTCTGAACTCTCCACCACTGGCTGCACTCTCACACATTCGCACACAATTCAATAACAGGATGTTGAACAATGCATATTTCCCATTACGTGATATTATTTATCTTGTGCTAAGAAATAAGCATAATGAATATGCTTGGTATTTTCTGAGGAGTCATGTTTATGGACATGGATGTTGAAGCATTTATGATTTAAAATGGCAATGAGATGTATCGTAAGTGCTTTTATTTATATTTCATAACATAGGTAAATGTATCAAATACACATATTGGGCTTACCATTCTTGTCTGGAGAGTAGAATCCAGATTCTTGTAAATATAAGAGCTACTTTTGAGAAGGAGAAATATTGGCATCAGTGCTATGCCCTCTCCCATTTGGAACTGAGCACCACCTTCTATGACTCAAAACCTTGCATAAAGTAGATTTCAAATGTAAGAAAGCAGATCAAGATACTCTTGTTTAGTTTGTCCATTTAGAAAGTTTGTTTGGATATGTACAAAGCAAATCATGCTCCCAAATGCAGAAACAAATAGCATTCAGTGCACACTTGGAAGTTTAATTCTTTGATGTTTATATAGCGTATACCCAAACTTGCTTGGGTGGTTGATCACTCCCAGGTTACTGTCCTAGTTTATTTGCATACTTTACTTCCCATTTCTTGTTATCTATCTTTTCTCTACCAAAGATATCTTGTCTTTTTTCTTATAAGAAGAGCAAGCTGAACAGGAATATGAAAAAAAATGCTGGTATTCAATTTATGTTTCAACTGCATACTGAAGCAAATTATACTTAACTTTAACAGAGACGGCTGGTAAATTGCAATTACAGAAGGAAAATAATATGTTTGGTTGGTACTTATCAAACAACATTTTGCCTCTCCTGTTGCTGCTTTGTATTTCAGTTGTTAGTGAAGCATCTCTTTTCATTGATGAGGAAAATTCCTCAATGACTTCCAACATTTGCACTGTTCCTGTACTGCCCCTGGTGCAGTGGGTCCTTCTGTGGCACTTACAATATTCTGGCAGTCATGTGGCAGAAGTGGGTGTGAGTATCTCCCTGGCCTCATTGCTATTCTCAAGCTTTTACACATTTTTTATTTTCTTTCATATTTCTTTTCTTCATAAAAGTATCATTTTGCTGTAATTATGCAACTGCGAAAAAATAAATTTAAAAATCAAAAGGCATACATGCATAGATGGACAGATTAGCAAAGCAGTGCAGAAGAGTGATTGTGGACTGTGCATTGCCAAAGCAGCATTGTAGCATGACTGCAGAGAAGTGCAATACTGATTGTTTCAAAATAGTACAGCACACATTATCCTTTTATATGCTAAAGTGAACATTCCGGTGCTAAAAGATCACACAATTTGATACAGGCTATTTGAAAATTAATACATTGATGTGTCACTCTTCCTAAATAAAACAGACTAGGTAGGAGACAAGAGCCATTACTATTTGAAGATCGCCGTTCTTTCACTGAAATGTTCATTATTTTTAGGACAGGAAAACACTCAGTTGGAGGTTTGGTTTCATGGTACTTCCTAGATCAGCCTCCCCAAACTGATGCCTTGTTCACATGTTGGACCACACATTTCATAATCAAGCCTGAATACCTTTGACTAGTTTAACAATTCTACCTCGCCACGTACTTTATTGATTTTGAACTGAATACAAAGAACAAGGGATCCATATATATTCATATTCAAAATATGAATATATATATAGCAACCAAAGAAAACTTAAAAGAAGAGTGGGGTTTAAGAAGACTGGCATTTGAGTGGAAAGAGGAGATTCCATCTGAACATGAGGAAGAACTTCCTGACTGTGAGAGCCGTTCAGCAGTGGAACTCTCTGTCCCGGAGTGTGGTGGAGGCTCCTTCTTTGGAAGCTTTTAAACAGAGGCTGGATGGCTATCTGTCAGGGGTGATTTGAATGCAATATTCCTACTTCTTGGCAGGGGGTTGGACTGGATGGCCCATGAGGTCTCTTCCAACTCTTTGATTCTATGATTCTATGATTTTATGATTCTATCAAAGAAGAACAACTCTAAAAGTTAGATGTACTGTTAATATATGATAATAATGGTAGTCCAAAGTCAAATGGTAAATTTCATGACAAAATTAGAATTTGGATTTATGTTTTTGTTCCAAGTTCATCACTATATGTTCATGTGAAGCAGGTGAACAGGATGTCTCAAACCCCCACCTGTGGATAGACTCTACAAGCTTATTGGCATTGACCCCCTCCCCGATGTGCGATGGGAAGTTGCTGCTAACTGTGAGAGAAATAAGGTTGAACACTGTGAAGGCCATCCACTGCATGGCTATCAACCTCCTCCTAGTAGACTCAAATCAAGGAAAAGTTTCATGAGAATCACCACTCCTTTTAATGTTCCCCCAGCAACAACAAGAGCATCTCTTTTGGCAGCTAAACCAGGAAATTCCAATTGGATGATCCCCACGAGGGTCTGCCTCCAGGGGCAAACCAAGAATGGGCAACTTGGAAGTCCCTGAACAGACTCAGAAGTGGGCAAATCAAAAGACAACTGGAAAAAATCCTGAAAAATGGCACTACCTAAAAGAATCTTCCACTTTGTGCGACTGTGGAGCAGAACAAACAACTCTGCACCTGTATGCTTGTCCACAATGTACAGAGGAAGAATTGTTTAAAGCTACAGACAATGTGGTTGCTGTTGCCCAGTTTTGGGCAAAAATTATTTAGTCTCTTGTGCTCCTTCTATTTTTGTCAGTTTTATACTTATGTATGCAATGCTTTTGACACCAAATAAATAACTGGAAAATTATATTTCTTCGTGCTTTATGAAAATTTAAAATTCACCTACTTTTATGATAACAAATCTGTAGAGTACCGTACAACTCATACAGTATTTTTCAGACTATTACATACAAACTTCATTCCCACCCCTTCTCTCCTCTTCATCCAGAAGTCATAGTAGGTGGAGCTCAAATCCTGCTTATATGATTGGGCTGTTCTAATGAATGAAGAAGTAACAACCAGTTTGAATGCAACCTGTTTGACTGTCGCCCTGTTACTCAAGTATTACCTGTGACTGTGACAATTGCTTGTCAAGAATGGGGTGCACAGCAGATAAGGTAAGGACAATGGTTTTCTGTTTTTTAAAGAAAATAAAAAATTGCGAGGATATTGTGTATATTTATGTACTTGTCAGTCCTCGAACAGATCTGAATACTCTGCAATGCCAAAATAAACTGATAGGCACATACATTGTTTAGCAGCGAGTTTGCCAGTTTTGCTTCAGGGAGACTTGAATGAAGCAACCATGTTCTCATCTGTGGGAGGAAGAACTGAGGTAGGGAGATGACTTGTATTTGAATAGAGTTTGATTTGTCAGTTTATTTGGGGTTTTAAAGTTTTGTATTTATAAGACTAGTTTGTTATTCTAGAGCTTGCTTGCTTGCTTGCAAGGATGAAGGTTTCTTGGCCCCGGCAGCTGAAAGGAAATGGAGAATTTGATCCTTGTTTATCTCTGTTTTGTTCATGAAAACAACACAAAAGGAATGTAGGTTAATGGATCTTGTAATGCTCATGAGACTAACTGCTGGGAAAAAAGTCTATAGTATAAACTTTTATAGACTCAGGGCACTTCCATCCAGGCCCAAATCCTGAGAGGAACTGGGATTTTAAATCCCACAACTGTGACAGACCCTGCATTTTCCCTGGGGGTGGGGGATGGCTACATGCCCTCCCAGGTCAACAATAGGAAACCCTCCCTCCTCTCTCCAAAGCTGCCGATGCGTCAGAAGCTATCTTCGAGGCATTCCATTATACAGCCAAGCACCTGCAGTAAGTTTTGGTGGAAAACATGGTGACATCCTGCTCCTTCTGGCTCTTAGAATGGGGTGGAAATGGAGATTGACCTCTAGGATCATAGAACACAGTCCTGGGAGTCAATCCCCACATGCTCACATCTGGAAAGATCTGAACCTTTCAGTAATGTTTGGATCTTTCCAGATGTTTTATTAATCCAGAGTAAACTGGGAAATCCCAGTTTACTCTCGATTAATCCGGGTTAACCTGAGGTGTCATTTGGATGCCTCAGGTTAATCTATGACACATCATACTTTTTTTGGCTTGTCTGAAAAGGTCTTCAGTCTGCTTTATCAGTTAAGGCTATAAAACATTGTGCTACGCATTTCTTTCTGTTAGTCTCAAAAGTGGTATAATACTGCTTTTTATACTGATATAGACAAAGGCGGCTATGTCTTTGAATAAAAGACATAGAATATTGTGATGACGATTTGATATGAGCTCTGAACTATCACAAGAAGAAAGATACAATACAACAAGAATTTGCAATGCTTTGCAATCATTTAAATCTGATGCAGTTTCACTGAAAACAGAAATTTTAGAATGCTGCGAGGGCTTCTTTTTTGGGGGGGGGGGGTAAGGATACTTGGTAGAACTATAATATTTCCCCTATTTCCCCCTTCAATAAGTGTTTAACAGTTTTCAGATTCATTTGATATAAAAGGAAAGATTATATTTTCAGATTTAATAATAAAGTTATATGTGGCATTTCTGACTTATGGCTTCCCGAAAGTGACCCTACTACAGAGGCTTCCTGGCAGAATTTGTTCAGAGGTGGTTTGCCTTTGACCTTTTCTGAGGCCAAGAGTAGGACTTGCTCAAGATCATCCAGTAGGTCTCCATGGCTGATTCTGATTCAAACCTTGGACTCCTACTGTCCTAGTTAGGCACTCAAACACTGGCTCTTCTTTACATCTTTATTCAGTATGTCCAATGAGGAATGGTTGAGGGAGCAGGTAAAAGAGCTGGGTAGATTACATGAAAGAAGTCTAAGATGGGACATGATAGCCGTGCTTAACTATTTGAAAGAATGTCACATTGAGGAGAAGGCAAACCTGCTTTCTTGCTGTTTCAGAGAATAGAACATGGAATACTGGATTCAAAGTGGAGGAAAAGAGATTCCACCTAAACATCAGGAGCAATTCTTTTTAATAATAATAATAATAGTAATAATAATAATAATTTTAAAATTGTAATGCACCCACAATACATATTACAAACATATACACATACACATATATAGACAACCCGCCAACCACATACAATTACCCCTCAGCCCCCCCCCCCCTGTGCAACCCACCACCTTGGCTCCCGACACTGATCTATGCAGAGTTTATGCATAGTTTTGTATTACCCTTTGTTCTTCTAAATCAAATACCTCTTGTTTTTATTTTCAGATATGCTAAGGCCAACTTCCAATTCCTTTCAAAAACTTCATGACTTTCATATTTCAGATTGCTGGAAATCTTGGCCATCTGTGCATAATCCCATAATTTATCCTTTCACTTTTTGAGACTTAACATTTTTTTTCCTTTCCAGTCACTGGCAATACTAATGTGTGCAGCCGCAAAACTGTACAGATACATTTCTCTTTCCGGCTGCAATAATTTATAACTGAATAACCCTAATAGGCACATCCCTGTTTTTTTTAAACTTTGTTCTGGATCATTTTATTTGTTTCTTTTATGATTCTTTCCCAATAGGCCTGCACCACTTCGCAAGACCACCACACATGAAAAACGCCCCTTTCTTTGTTTTACACCTCCAGCAGTGTCCTAATTGTGCTTTATGTATTTTGGCTAGATGGGCTGGGGTTATATAACATCTGTAAAACATTTTATATAAATTATCTCCAATTGAAGTCACCACTGTAAATTTGAAGCCTTTGTTCCACAGATTTTCCCAATTATCAATTCTTGATGGTTATTGCTGTTCAACAGTGGGCTATGCTGCCTCCTTGAGCCTGTGGAATCTCCTTCTCTGAAGGCTTATATGCAGAGGTTGCATGGAAAACCCTGCTTTGTCTCGAAGTAATTTGCCAGCTGGAAAGACCAGGGTCTTTTAGAAGACCCATGTCTTTTCTGGTGTGGGGAATGTGTAGATGGGACCGGGAATCATGCTGGTGCCCATTTACACAGCTTCTGGAGCCCAATACACCCAAGACAGCACTAACCTCCTTCCCAACCCCCCTAAAAGCCTTTAAAAATATTATAACTTACCCAGCCACTATTAAACTGCTGCCGGAGCTCTCCTGGTGCATAGGAACAATGCGCCAAAAGAAAGGGAGGCCAGGAGCAATGTCCCCCCCCCCCTTCTCCAGGTGTGTCATTCCTATGTGCCCAGAGAGCTCCAGCAGCAGTTTAATTGTGGCCTGGTAAGTTATTTTATTTTTTAAAGGCTTTTGTAAGGGGTTTGGGGAGGGGATGGGGGCTGTCTCCCTGTCCTCCTGGAAGGACAGGAAGGACAGGGTATCTAGAGCCCCTCCCCCAGAAAAAGCACATGCTTTCTGGGGTGTGTGTGGGCTTTAACGCGATTGCTCGCTCGCAGGTTAAAGGGCTGTCTGGAACCACCCTGAATGAGCAAGATTTAGACCAATTAAACAACAGGCATGAGCAGCATTCTGAGTGAAGTAAGCTAGTTTATAAGATGCAGGGCACGCTACCAGGCCCAGTTGGCACCACTCCCTGGATGACCTGAGGTGACTGTCTCTGCTTAGATTACAACACCAATTGGATCACAATACAATTTTCATTACTGAATGTGCTCATGTATAAATTGACATCATGTTTAAGTCGAAGGCAGGTTTTGGATCAAAATTATGGATTCCAATATGACCCATGGATATGTTGGGGTTCATTCTATGCAGAGAGGAAATCACCAATCCCATCGCAGAGACCAGCCGCCTCTGTCTGCCAATGCCATTTCTCCGCTCAGACATTCAACAAGGCCATACAGAGAGATTAGAGGTAGTTAGTTGTTCTTTTAGGTTCCCCTGGGAGGACTGAGTTCTTGCCTTTCATCATTTTACAGAGGAAAAATTGTTCATTTTTGGTAAGCGTAAAGGCACAATAATCGCATTAACCTGTGGATAAGTTGATCCAGGGATTTTGGGTCGATTTTTTTGACTAAAATTTATGTATAGGGTACTTTATATCCCCTTCATTTGATTCCCCTCAAAAGTGTGAATGTAAAAAGAGTATTCCATTCCAGTCCACATAATTATCATATGAGACAAAATAATAATAATAATAATAATAATAATAATAATAATAATAATAATAATAATATATTTATATTCTGCCCTATCGCCCCGAGGGGACTCTGCTCTCAAAAAGGTGTTTGGACTGGGGAAAAAAAAATGAAACAAGGAGGGAGAAGAAAAATGTAATTGCAAACATTGAAGAGAAAGGAGAAGGAGGAGAGAGAGAAAAAGTTTAGTATATGAGTGAACAAGAAGAGAGAGACAAATGCATAGTAGTGGCTCAGGCCGGGTTATTTGAAGAGTTGTATTATTTCTGTTTGACCCTGGCCAAATTTCAATATCTGCAAGGGGAAGCATTTCTCTCTATCCCACCTCCTACAGAGGCACAGATGGGAAAGTGGGAGAAGGCCTTCTTTGTGGCTTTGGAATGACCTTCCAGGTGAAGTCAGAGCTTTTATGTGGTATACTATTTTTAATCTGTTTTAAAATAAGACTTTAATTGGTTTCAGTTCTGTTATTTAATACCATGTTAATCTCAATAGTTTATGATTTCAACTACTGTACTGTATATGGGTGTTATTGTATTCTCCGTCCTTTTGTAAGATGCCTTCTCTCAGTCTAAAATCATAGATGGGTGTTGGATGGAGAGGGACTAGGAAAGAAGAATGACTATGAGGAGTTGTGTGGGAGGAAGTGAGAAAGAGGATGAGAGAGACGCAGAGAGAAAGAAGATGCTTCACAGAAGTTGCTGAGGAATGAAGAAGAGAAATGAGGAACTGAGAAAAGTGAAGCTGGGAATGAAAAGATAAAGAAAACAAGTGCCACCACCTTTGTTTGTTTGCTTTGATTTTTTGTTGTTGCTAACAATGGGTGGTTGAGATCAAGAAAGAGAAATACAGTGCAACTGCAACCTGAAAGGTGGGAAGGGAACTGAAAAAGTAACAATAATATGGGCCAAATAACAAGGCAATCTGTATTCTCATATTCAGTGACTTCTGGGGCAGAAAGTTTTGAGGCACCTCGAGATTTTCATGTGTGGGTACCTCATTCTACTGAGTCCTG